TATATATCAAAGTCAAAGTCATTTATTGTCATTTCTACCACATGTGCAGGACATACAGAGAAACGAAATTGAGTTTCAGTACACACAATTCAAAGATCAGACATACGTGGGTAAGACACATAACAAGAATTGGTGACTGCGGTCATTCGCAACATGAGTCGCGCTACCTTAATAGATAGATGACAAGGGTGTTACATGAGGATAAGTGGGGGTAGGTAAAAAAAAGGCATAGCAGAGTTAGCCCCAGCGGGGAGTAACTCAATTATACAAAAAAAAAAAACTCCTTTAACATGGAAGCACAAACAGCACAGATACAACATCAGAGTCCGATGGGGAGGCGGGGATGGGCGGGATCCTGAAGCCTCCAATGGGAGCTGCCACTGCGGCACATCGACCAGCTGCATATCAACAGGTGGGAGGGAGAGATAAGGACCAGAGAGCACATTGAAGTTTCCCGCAGACGTCTCAATCTGAAGGAAGAGGGTGAAGGTCGGGACACAGCATCTGTCGGCATTCCTCCTTTCGTGGGGGTGTGTTGAGGCAGCCTTGAGAGGCTGCTATGGCGTCAGATAAGCATAAACATGACTTTGTTTGGGGCAGGCAGAGATAATTTTCCTCTCCTCCTTGGAGTCTCTAAGTGGTCATTCATGTCCACCAGTGAGCCAATTATACGTTCTAAACATCCCCGCATCGTCCGGCGACCCTCTCCGAGATCAAATCCATCTTGCGTACTATCACAGGCAATGCCACGAGGACATTATCCAGCTTGCGGTTCACCTCGAGTAACGTCCCAGTTTGTGAGGTCACCGCCCGAGCGGCACATTCCGTGGGCACGGGTCGCACTCCAATCGCTCCCGTCTTCCCAAATTTCCAGAAAACCAGATATCCTCCGACTCCAATCAGAAGAAATCCAGTGATCATCAGGCCAAACATCCACAAATCTTCCACGTCCTCGATGGACAGCTGAGAGAGGCACACGATTCGCCATACCTCCCAAGAATCGAGTGCATATCCCGATGCGAATGTCCCCTCGGGACAGGTGGGAGCCCCCTTCTCCGTTCTCATCGTAGAAAAAATGTTGTCAATCGCATTGAATGACCAGTTAATTAAGTCCATATTTCCAAAAAAGAGTAGTGGTTTCAGGAGAAATGCAGAGAAGTGCTCTGTAGGCAGACGGCACAAGAGCCTTGGGGAAGCCGATAAGGGAGCTGAGAAAAAAAGCGTCTGTACTCTCTGAAGGCTGAGAAGAAATATATATATATAAATATATATATACATATCTATATATATATTATATATATATGTATATATATATATATATATATATATATATATATATATATATATATGTAGATTGTATATATATATGTATATATGCATATATATATATATGTAGATTGTATATATATGTATATATATATATATATATATATATATATATATATATATATATATATATATATATATGTGTGTGTATGTGTATATATATGTATATAAGTATATATACATATGTGTGTGTATGTGTGTATATATATATATATATGTGTGTGTATATATATATGTATATATATATGTGTGTGTATATATATATGTATAAATATATATGTGTATATATATGTATGTATATGTATATGTGTATATAAATATGTATATATGTATATATGTATATATATATATATATATATATGTGTGTGTGTGTGTGTGTGTGTGTATGTATATACATGTATATGTATATATATATATATGTACATGTATATATATGTATATATATATATATATATATATATATATATATATATATATATATATATATACATATATGTATATGTATACACATATACATATATGTATGCATGTATGTATGTATGGTGGGTAAAAGACAAGTAAAAAAGTAAAATTTCTAAGAAGGCCGATGAAACGTTCCAGGGTCACTGCAACCCTCCGACCCTCAATGCTCCTCCCCTTTCCACACTGAGGTGACATGCACTGCTTATCGTGGCTGCAGGAACTGAAGTGGGGATAGTCCCAACCCACCACCCCACCTAGTGGACACTTATGTTGTGTTGTCTGAAGTCTGTTGCATATGTTTGAGGTGTTTTTTTTTTTTTTTTTGCAAAGCTGCCCTCCTGGTGGAGGGTAACTCTGAAGTGCCTTTTTTCCCTCCACCTGAACCAATCCTCATGTTACCCTCTTACCTCTATTAAGGTAGAGCGACTCAGGGTTGTGAATGACCACAGTCACCAATTCTTGTCATGTGTCTTGCCCATGTATGTCTGATCTCTGAATTGTGTGTACTGAAACTCTAATTTCCCTCTGGGATTAATAAAGTATCTTTGATTTGATTTGATTGATTTGATAAGAAGGTTCTTCCTAAGCGTTTAGAAACAATGATGTGACCCTTGAAATATCTTTTTTACTTCATCCATTTTTTGTCAGTCATTTGCATTTTAAATACTGTATGTGCAAAAATCTCATTAGAGGGCTGTAAAAGGAAGTTCAAGTGCTAGATTGAGACTTACTGTGACTGTAACTACCACATTCTTAAAGAGATGAAAGACTATTCTTTCACTCACACTCCTCTCCCTCACTCCGTAGGCATTTACACCCAACGACTCGTTTTAATGTTGTTTTTGTAATTCTTTCAATGTATAAGTCACTCGTAAACACACAGCCTAGCTCTCATTAGCACTCGCTCATTACTGCAGATTTATTTTGCGCAAATACTAAAAATGGCCTATTTCTGGTATTAATTTCCCTCGTATCTATCCTCTCTGCCGTGGTAAAGTGGTCGACGCCGAGTGTGGCTGTAGAGGGCTGACTCACTGAAGTCACCGAGAGCCTTTCACAGTTTATCTCGGGGATAATGATAATGCTTCAGGGCAAGAAAACTCAAATCATCTAAGCTTTTTGCAGCCTCAACAATGACTCTGTGGACATTAGATAGGGCCATTTTTAGGTGATGCAGACACTGAGGTTTTAACGATTTAATAACTGCTTCAAAGGATAAATTGAGTGTAGAGATTTGCAGAGTAAAGAATAATTAAATTAAATGGTATTATGCGCAATTTTACAGTTTTTTTGCATTTTAAGTAATTTTTTTATGCAGATAAGTTGTTGAATATTATAAGCAAAAACCATCTCTCACACTATTATAGTCTGAAATTACATTTTCTTGTGGTCTCCAAATGGAAATTCACATAAAAATGTGTGTTGTCGGCGTACAGCTAAGCAGAAAAGGGCAGATTATTATTATTGCTGAGAACCGTTTCTGAGGATCTGTCTCCCACACAGCAGGTTTTTTTCTGTCTCAGCTTTGAATATTATCTACAAAAGAGGGGCTGTGGGCATTGTTGCTGGCTGTGTAATGTCAAATCGATACCTGGTGCGTTTCAGGTTTCACAAATGAAAAATACAAGCAGATTTGATCAATGCACAAGAGGGGTGTATGACTGTAGGCTTGTTCTGCTCCAGTAATACAAAAGAGATCCATACTGCGGGCTCGCAGGGTGACATGAATCTATGGATCAAGATAAAAATCAGCCCTCTTTAGGCAGAGGATTGGCACGTCCGATTGACTGAATCAGACAAATCTGTGGCAAAGGTTAAGAAATTGTTGTGCCTGCAAAGAAAGTCACATTTAAATAATTAAATAATTTAAAAATACATTTAAATCACCTATTTTAACTTCCTCACCAAGAGAAAAGCTGTGAAATTTGTCCCCTTTTGCATTTTTTGATTTGGGGCAATAAGGGCTTGAGGATAATGTAAATTAATTAAAGTAATAAATTAACAGTTGTAGTAATAATAAGGTAATGATAATGCAATGTAATAACGGTATGTCTTTTCTTCAATCATCTCCAAAAGTTTTTAGAATTTTGTTTGTTCACTTTATTTTTTATTTTGTTAAGTTCATTTAATGCTTCATTGAGATGTAGAGACTTATATGGCTAGTAAAGGGATACAGAATACTCTGTCTAGATTTAGGCCAAATACACAGGTGGTGTGGTTTTTGTAAAACCAAATGTCTTCCCCCAAACATCAAGGAAAACACTTGGGTCCAGACCACTTCATTTCCAGCAAAAAATCCATTGTATTGTGAAACGCATTACCTGGCATGCCAAGCCTGTAGGTGGCAGTAGTTCCCCTAATAAACCTTCTGTGGAATAACTAGATAGTGGGCAATAACTGTCCTTGATATTGTCCTTTGCCTGTGGTCTTCTAAAGCAGTTATTATGCAAGTAAAATCGTGTGAGTATAATCACAAGTCGCATGGCAAAGTATTTGTCGCAGGTTTCGAAACGCACAATTCCGGTTATTCACGTCCACAAGCAAGTGCTAAAAATTAATCATTCGCAAATCTCCACTTTGGTCTGAGTTTTTGAAAGAATAATTTTTGATGCAGTTTACCTTCACTTTGGTGTGAATAACTGGCCGAATCGTAGAAAATAATCAGGATTTTGTGGGACACCTAGCTACGTGTATCTTAAACTCACGGTTAAAAAAAGTTCAGATTTAATTAACCCTAAATTTGCATCACACCACCTCTTGGCTTAAAGCAGTCAGGTTGAGTTTGTGAATAATATATCATGAAATAATTAGACCAGCCTATATAAATCAAGATAACAGTCAATAAATCAGCCGATTCTTTTGTTCTTTACTCTGATTTTACTTCTGCTGTTATGAACGTTCCCTTAAAAAGGGAGGTTGATGTCCGTTTTTGAGCTGAGAGCAGTTTCCATACCAGACGGTTGCGGACGATGTCAGGATGGTCTTCACCACATACCATTAAAAACTACTTAACACACCAGAATTGGTACTGGTGTTTATTTTTTATTACTAAAACTATATTTTATTATTAAAATCTTGAATCTTGAAGTTCCCCGAATCCTTTCACTCTTGCTTTATTTATTTCTTATCTTTGACCATTTTTTAAACACATTTAGCTTGGGTTTTAGTTTTAGACGTTGAATGAACTTGACATCTCCCATGTGTCTGTTCAGCTATGTTTACAGAGGTGCCTCACGATATGATGGCCCAGAGAGGTCAGGATGTGGAGATGGCCTGCTCCTTTAGAGGAGCAGGAACACCATCCTACTCACTGGAGATCCAATGGTGGTACATCAGGAACCATCTAGACTGGACAAACCGACAGCCCTGGACGACTAATGAGGTAAGTCCTCATTGAAGGGGACTTATTTTGCAAAAGTCTAATTTGTCATCTTTTTCTGCTGCCATGTGGGTCTCTACTGCCTCTGTTAACACTTTAAACATGACAAAACATGTCCACTGGCTTTCTGCCGGTGTTTAGTTTAGAAATGATGTGCTTCAAACGAGCTATATCAAAAAGTCCCTGTTTGTGATGTCACACAAATGTGCATAGAACCACTTCTCACTTCTCCAGGCTAGAAGAGCAGAGGCTCAACTCCAAGCCTTTCCCGGATGTCAGAGTTTCTCAGCTTATAGCAGCCAATCAGGTGATGGGCATCACTAGTTCTAGCTTGTTTTCTTAAAGTAACAGAGCCCTAAAACGGCTCATTCTGAAAGGTACTGAAAATGTCAAAGTCAAAACTGATTCAATCACTTTTTGTGAGAGCGACTTAGTTCAAAGAACATCATAAACTTGTTAAGTAAGTAAGTAAGTAAGTAAAAGTTTATTTATATAGCGCCTTTCTCAGATATAAATCACAAAGCGCTGTACAACATGATAAAGATCAGGGCAAATACCTCTAACCAATAAGAACATCAGAAAAACAATAGCAGTGATAAACATAGAAAATAAAATCATGACTATAAACAAAGTGAAGGTGTGAACCCGAACAAAGCCATCTTTTTGAAACATTTAGGGAGGGAACGCCTGGATGAAAAGGTGAGTTTTTAGATGATTTTTAAAGACCTCTACAGTGTTAGAGAGATGGAGATTTGAAGGTAGACTGTTCCAAAGTCTGGGTGCAATACTCTGAAAGGCCCTGTCCCCTTTGGTTTTCAGTCTGGTTCGAGGAACAGCCAGGAGGTTTTCAGATGTGGATCTAAGGTTCCGAGAGGTGATCTGTGGAGATAAAAGCTCAGATAGGTAGCTTGGAGCCTGGTTGTTAAGAGCTCTATAGGTCACGACTAAAACTTTAAACTGTATTCTATATTCTACCGGGAGCCAGTGGAGGGACTGTAAAACTGGGGTGATGTGAGCTCGTCTGCTGGATTTGGTTAGGAGTCTTTTTGTATCGACTTCAGAACTTTTACAACTTTAGAAAAAGTCACAGTGTGTCTCCTTTACGTTATCTGTTGATCTTTATGCATCAATAATTTTAAATGCCTATAAGGCAACTTCTGAATTAGGGAAATTTATCGCATTTCCTAATATTTTAGCATATCTGTTCACCACTACCATTGTGGAAATGGCCTTGCAACATTACCTAGTTTAAATGACTAATTTGGGTTTTGAAATACAATTCTTGAACATTTCAAAAAAATTATGCTTCTTGTGTTTTGATTAAATATTTAAAGGAAGTGACAAAAATATTTTTATAAAATAAAAGTCTACGTGGCATACAGCATTTGTGCATCTCCTGTGTTTCCTATTAGCCTGTGTGAAAGCTGCAGTTATTAAGCTTTGGCTTCTGGTGGTTGAATATTCTCACGCATGGCGGAACAAGGGACAGTCAATACCACCTCAGTAGTTTAGTGTTAGCAAATTGCTTATCACATATCAAACAGTCACAGAGCAGCTTAAGCACTGATTTATGATCAGATGTGATGATATCAGACAAATTAAGATGTATAAAAAAATAAATGTTGCTTTAAAGTGACAGTGTGTATTTTTCCTGGCGATAGGGGGCAGTAGATACCCAAATAGTTGCAAGCAAGCAGTATTTTTGTGTTGGAGTAAGACCTTTCAAATGGATGCCCATTAGGGTCAAAAAGCCCTGGGGAGTACAAACTTTTGCTAATTAACAAGCACATCAGCTCCCTTTCATTACTGGCAACAAGTGGATGTAAATGTGTAAAACAATATTTAAGAATGACGAAAGTTTTGTAACCATTTGTTACAAATCAGTAAATGCATTTTGTCCTCAAGGGCTCCTGTAGAAGGAAACATGGCCTCTTTTTTCTTTTCTTTCTTTTTTTTTTTACCGTGTCCTGTCTGGCTGTGAAGCAAGCAGAATTGATGTCTGAATGCTGGTGGCAAGCCTTACAGATTTATTCTCAGGTGGAGCATCAAAGCGTCTGCTTTTAATGTCACGCCTGATACTTCAAATTTTATTGTTATTGTTTTTGAATGCTTTGTAATTCAGACCAGACACAGAGACAGAGGTGAAAGAGAAAGGAAATGACAAATGATGGGAGGGGGGGGGGGGTTCCACAAAAAAAACATGGCCTCCAATATGGCATCGCCCAGAGACTTAGACCCGCTCCCATGTATTTTAGACTTGATTTTTATGGTTATATGTTGCAAAGCTGCCAGTATTTTTCAACAACTGGGCATCATTTCATTCATTGTCAACAACATTTTGATGGATATTTCCAGAGATTAATGGTAAAAATGACACATTGTCTCTTTACCTTTCGTTAAATGCTTGATGATGTCCATTGGTGATTATGACTGTTTAGACTCTGATCATGCACACAAGTTAATGGAGCAATATGTAATAATTCTACAGTGAAATAATCATAAAACAGTCTAATCCCTCATTCATGTTAGAAGGAAAATTACATTGAAACAGATTTCATTCTCAGCTGGCTGGAGAGTTTTTCACCTTTGAAAAAAACCCAAAGACGAACAAAGAGTTACTGTTTATAATCTGCGTGTGAGGTTGCCCAGTCTGCACCAAGCTTGACGTAATTCCACACCGCAAGCCAAAAGGCGAAACTCTCCAGAGTTGTTTAAAGAACCTAAGCCAATAAACAGGAGTGACCCAGAAGTTATTTCTTGTACCCCTAAGTAGCCACTGCATCTTTGTGTTTTACTCTATCGAGTGAAAAAGGCTAGAGGCTAACATTGAGCTATCATTGCTAAGGGAGAATTAGAAGCAAACAGTCGACTCTAAAACATCCCAAGCTACTTTTTCAATAACCAACAACTGGATATTACAGTATGTATGTCTGACGTGAATATTGAGTCAATCATGGTGTTTCCCTTCCTTAAATGAGACGTTCAGATCTATAACAACAAGCTAACAGAAAACAACGTGTCCCGTAATGCCATGAGCATACTACTGTAATAAGTCTAGTAAAGGCTTCCTACAGTGAAACACAAAGTTATAGCAACAGATATGACAATGTTTTGTATCAACTGTCTCATTTTTGCTTGTCATCTAGAATCTTCTGGCACTGGTCCGTAAGTGGCAATAGCCATGGAACAGTGAGAAATTGACTTTTTGATCAGAAAAATGGACTGCAGTAATCAAACTGACCACATTCTCACACATTGCACCTTTAAATTGAGGAGTTTGTTGGATTTGATACAATGCAGGATTAAGCTTCAGAGTTTGCATAAATAGATATACTTCCTAATGTAGGTAGAACTGTATGTTCATTCATTTCCAGATACCCAAAGTGACATTGACAAATGTTCATAAATCTGTTCAGCTTGCAATCGTGATCAAATGTTTCAAACAGGAAATCTGATTCTCTCGTGTTTGCTTCTTTATTTTAGGTGGCTCCTGAGGAGGAGACACCAAAGGATGCTACAAAGATAAGTGTGAGTCAGAGCTGTTATTTTCCTGGAAATGTTTTGTTTTTGTGATTTAATGAACGGGCTGCACAGTGGCGCAGTGGTTAGAGCTGTTGCCTTGCAGCAAGAAGGTCCTGGGTTCGCCTCCGGGCCTGGGATCTTTCTGCATGGAGTTTGCATGTTCTCCCTGTGCATGCGTGGCTTCTCTCCGGGTACTCCGGCTTCCTCCCACAGTCCAAAAACATGACTGTTAGCTTGTGAGTGTGTGTGTGATTGTTTGTCCTGTGTGTCTCTGTGTTGCCCTGCGATGGACTGGCTCTCTGTCCAGGGTGTACCCCGCCTGATGGCCCATTGACCGCTGGAGATAGCCCCCCCGACCCCACATGGACAAAGCGGGTTCAGAAAATGGATGGATTTAATGAAGGCAGAAAAATCCCACACAGTTCCATGTGTGTATGTGTTAGTGGATCCAAGCTGAAAGGCTCTAAATGTACGAGTCCATTTCAACCCTTAGCAAAAGAATAAACAGCTGGGATGAACTTCCTTTATAACGTGGCTGGACTTGGGTGAAGAGCTCCATGAGCCTGGGTCGAGCGGGAGCAGAGCCTCTGATGGTCACCTTTCCCTGGGACTTTTCCAGGCCTGTTCCACTGGGAGGAGACCCGAGGGGCGACTCAGACTTTATTGGATGAATAATATATCCTCTCTCCTGGGATGACCCCGGAGAGGCTCATTGGGGAGAGTGATGTCTGGTTTCCCTCTGTAATCTGACACCTCTGCAACCTGGCTCTGGACAGGTGGAGAGAGATGAACGGGTGTTTAGTTAGACGAAGCTCTCAGTGCGGTAAACCCTCCACATCACACAGTTACACCTTCAGCTGATCCTGGATGAATTTGTGATTTAAGTGTCGGGCAGCAGCGGAGCTCGTGGGTGGTTAAGCGGTCTTCTCAAGAGGACGAGGCTTGCAGTGCATCGTGTTCAGACTCTAATAAACCTCTCGTCATCTTTATTGCTACGACGCCTCCTCCTAGTGACAAACTTTGGCAAAGAGTCAGCAGAATATTCTGTTATCCGTGACAAAATGCAAGAAAACATCACCAGAGTGACCTTTACCTTACTTTTAAATCCTCTTTAAAAAATAAAAAGTTCTATAAAGATCCATAAACGAAACAAGAAATAAAACCTACATCTTGTACATTTATTATTGTCAATCTCAAAAACAAAAAGTGTGATTTAATGAAAGCGCCAGCTGCAGTTTGAGTGACGGAGCCTGTGTGTTGTGAGTGTAAGTGGAGCCAACCGCTGCAGGCTATGCAGCTGTAAAATCATAATCTCTTGCTGCACAAAGGATGCTGGCTCACATCCATGCAGTCAAACAAAAACATGACAGATCCTTACAGGATGCAGACACAAACGCACAAATAGTGAGCGTTAAGTGCTAATTCTGTTTTACATGCAGCCACAAATGCAGGATGTAGCTGCACGCAGTCATCTATCAGCATCCTCGGAGGGAAGGTGGGAGTAGTATTTATATCCTGGCGTGTCGGATCTCATGATGTTCCCAGACTCTTATCATCTAAGCAGCGTTATTCTGTGAACTTGCAAAGCTTTTACCTCTAAAGAGTGGGGTCTTTATACATCCAGAGCTCCAAATAAGATTAGTTCAGCAGCAGGGGTGATGAGGCCAGAAGGAGGTGAAGATGGGATGTTTTTAAGCTTCTGCAGAGCAATAATTAGGTTCCTTTTTTTTACAGTGTGGGTCTGATTTCATTAACATAAACACATGATAAGGTTTTGAAATAGCCAAAAACTGAATAATAAACAAATAATTCATATAAAGTTTTTTTATTTTTCACTAATATCTAGTTTCCGTGCATGCACCTGCAGAGCTAATGCCTCGGAAGTAAAAGTGGAATAACGTGTTCTCGGCGTGTTCTCTCTAAAAGTGAAACGAGAAGGCCAGGTCTGCTAATGTATCTGCGATGTTGATGAACAAATAATCTGCACCTCCAAAACTCACACTGTTGAGTCATTTCTGTGAATTTACTAACCCTAACGCGTTGTACAGTTCTGCTGGGCTGTGGTGGCCTCATGGAGGGGGCCATCGTCTAGCACACTGCTGCTAACCACTTAAACATTCTCCCTCTCCTGATAATAACTTTTTGCTTTCTTTGACATTGAATGTGCTACTACTAGTTTACCCATTTAATTATAGATTCACTAGGATAAATACAATAATGTTTATCTCTCGCCAAATAGAATATTTACTAAGAAATCACCATATTACCATAGGCACATTGCTTGGTGTGTGTGTGTGTGTGTGTGTGTGTGTGTGTGTGTGTGTGTGTGTGTGTGTGTGTGTGTGTGTGTGTGTCTGCTCTGTCCTCCATCCCCAGTGAGTCGTGGAGGATGGCTGCTTATACTGAGCCAGGATCCTCTGGAGGTTTCTTCCTGTTCAAATGGAGTTTTCCTCTCCACTGTCGCTATATGCTTGCTTAGTATGAGGATTGCTGTAAAGTCACTGACACTAGTCAGTGACTTGATGCAATTTGCTGGGTTCCTTATATAGGACACATTATTTCTGATTGGCTTAATGAACTGACCTGAATTGGAGTGTTTATTATGTGAAGTGCCTTGAGATGACTCTTGTCGTGATTTGGCGCTATATAAATAAACTTGAATTGAATTGAATTGGACAAAGATGTGCAACATTTGGCAGAACATGTGTTGGGTCTGACTCTAATCTGTAAAACTAACCGGATTATGGCCATTTTTGTCTTTTCTAATGTTGATTATCTGTGACAGTAATCTTTGACCTGCTTCGACTCCAAGGAACAGTGCGGCCAGTCTATGGCTGATCAGCACCCCGGGGGCCTGAGGGCCCAAAGCATTTGCCTGCCTTGCCTTTCAGCACATGTCGCCTGTGGTCAGGGCTGCCCCGGTGCATGATCGTCTATCAGTTCACTTTCAAACCTCACCATAATTTGTCCTTCTTGTTTGCCAGGTGGTGAAGGTCGTAGGAAGCAATATCTCCCATAAGCTCCGCCTCTCTCGAGTCAAGCCCGCTGATGAGGGAACCTACGAATGCCGTGTGATCGACTTCAGCGATGACGCCGGTGCCCGCCACCACCGCGTCAGAGCATACCTGCAGATCATACCGGAGAGCGACAGCATTGACGCCAAGCACAACAGCAACTTTGACGCCATGGACAGTACCAAGAGAGACATGAGGTTTTTGGACAGGGAGTCCCACGGCGGCACCAAAGAGCACATTCATCACCAGAGTCACGGGCACCACCAGGAGCCCGGCAAACGGCCTTCGTCTGCTGCCCACCACGGCCACAGCCACGAGGGAAACAATCAGCAGCACAAGGCGGGCAAAGAGCTGAGGAAGAGGGACGTGGACAGTAACCACAGCCACAATGACTGCACCAACGAGCCGAGCTGTGCGCTGTAAACACTTGTTACGCCTGAGTGGGGCATCACACAATGGGTACATAATGTATGTCACAGCATAAAAGCTATTCTCCTCACACAATGCAGGCCTGTAGTGAAATCCAGAATCCACTGAAATGTGCAATGTGATTTATTTGAAGCAGAGGGGTGTGAACTGTGAAAGGAGTGTGGCTTTTTCTTGCTGTGCATTAGTCTGCGTTGGACTGCTCACTGTCTGAAAACTGCCTGTAAAGTCTGGCTTCCTAACATTCAACAAGGGTGGGGGTGGGTAATGGGGGGGGGGGTGATGGGAAGGGACTGATGTGTAGATCTAGGCAGCTTCATTGATTTTTGGTTCAAGAACCAAAAATAAACAAAAAAAAAAGAAAAAGGATATACAAGTAAGGTTTTAGTTCTCCCATTAACCAGTGCTTTGTTCTACTCTTGTATCTCAAATGCTGTAAATGACAGCCTTTCATGGTCATGCTCTGTTCACTGCCTTACTCTGTGATCTAAAACACTCTCAGAAAAAAACAAAAACAAAAAAAAACTGCGATCAAAAAATTTATAATAGGACCTGTCCTCCTGTAGAATCATAATTTTATCCTTAAGCTGTGACTGTTGCCAACCGTACTTGTGAGGGATTTTCTAAAAGGCCTCCAAATATTTGAAACGTTGGTGAGAACTTTGAGACACAAAACCTTTCTGGGAATATTGGAACATAAAATTTTTGACGTGGCATCAGGTGTTCCACGTTGACATGAGGTGGTCAAATGTCTCATTTTATTTGCTATTTGATGGCCAAACTCTCATAAAGCTTTCTTGCCTTTAATTGAACACCGCTATGTCACGGATGTGCAACTGATGCGACAAATGAACAAGTGGCTCTAAGCCCCGCCCTCCTGTTGCTGGCAAGCCATCGTGACTGCTTGACACTCGAGATGTTCTTTACAACTTTAGGAGGCAACAACATTTGTGTATCTTTGAGGAGCTAATCAGAAGGTCGGCATTACCCCACAGAGAAGCCTGCAGTCAATCGTCTTTGATGAGAGAAACATCATTAAAGACCACGTCTTCATTCACCATCCGTGCAAGAAGGCGGGCTTAGTGAAGCTTGTCACCGCTATGCTTTACACGATTGATGTGAACTTGTATGTCCTGATTTCTGAGATTATACAAGACCAATGTCTTACGTTGGAACAAACGTAGACGTCCTTGTTTATAGGTGACACACCGAGTCGACTGTCTGCCACACAGCTTTGTCCAACAGAGACATTTGCCCCCTTTTTTCAGTGTAGAAAATTGGATCAAGTGAACTCAGCTGATTATGCTGTTGGAATATTGTGCATCGGTTTTGTGTGCGCCCCGAGCACATCAGTTAACCATTTGTGTGTCTTGAAAACCTCGTGTTTTTGAGTACATTTGCAGTGGTCTCTCTCTCTGCCCTGTGAGTCGGTCTTATGAGAAAAGAGCTCTCACGCTCCTGTTTCAGGAAAAAGACAGATGGGAGGTTAGCTTCAGACGCCAGGGTTTGGATTCTTCCTCATATTCAGAAATCTTACCTCTGATTGGCTATCAGCAGCACAACTTTACCACTGACTCTTTTCGCTCTGCAAGGTGATGTTTTATCTCCACAAATAAGACAAACCTGATGGGGTTCTGCAGTGTTGTGGAGTTGCTAATGCTAAATGATAGCTTCTACTAACCAAGACGTGCTCTGCCCTCTCCTGGATGCTAAATAAACAGCCTTCCTTGTTGCAAAGCGATATGAACTTTTTGACGTGCAAATGTCAGGCTTTTCCAATTCGAACCTTTCCGCTTCTGTTGTCTATTGGCAGCTAATGCAGGAAATAGGGCTAGAAGACTACAGGGAGTGCAGCATTATTAGGCAAGTTGTATTTTTGAGGAATAATTTTATTATTGAACAACAACCACGTTCTCAATGAACCCAAAAAACTCATTAATATCAAAGCTGAATGTTTTTGGAAGTAGTTTTTAGTTTGTTTTTAGTTTTAGCTATTTTAGGGGGATATCTGTGTGTGCAGGTGACTATTACTGTGCATAATGATTAGACAACTTAACAAAAAACAAATAAATACCCATTTCAATTCTTTATTTTTACCAGTGAAACCAATATAACATCTCAACATTCCCAAATATACATTTCTGACATTCAAAAACAATACAAAAACAAATCAGCGACCAATATAGCCACCTTTCTTTGCAAGGACACTCAAAAGCCTCCCAGACACTGTTCAGAGAGGTGTACTGTTTTCCCTCCTTGTAAATCTCACATTTGATGATGGACCACAGGTTCTCAATGGGGTTCAGATCAGGTGAACAAGGAGGCCATGTCATTAGTGTTTCTTCCTTTATACCCTTTCTTGCCAGCCACGCTGTGGAGTACTTGGACGCGTGTGATGGAGCATTGTCCTGCATGAAAATCATGTTTTTCTTGAAGGATGCAGACTTCTTCCTGGACCACTGCTTGAAGAAGGTGTCTTCCAGAAACTGGCAGTAGGACTGGGAGTTGAGCTTGACTCCGACCTCAACCCGAAAAGGCCCCACAAGCTCATCTTTGATGATACCAGCCCAAACCAGTACTCCACCTCCACCTTGCTGGCGTCTGAGTCGGACTGGAGCTCTCTGCCCTTTACCAATCCAGCCATGGGCCCATCCATCTGGCCCATCAAGACTCACTCTCATTTCATCAGTCCATAAAACCTTAGAAAAATCAGTCTTGAGATGTTTCTTGGCCCAGTCTTTGTCTTGTTCAGTGGTGGTCGTCTTTCAGCCTTTCTTACCTTGGCCATGTCTCTCAGTATAGCACACCTTGTGCTTTTGGGCACTCCAGTGATGTTGCAGCTCTGAAATATGGCCAAACTGGTGGCAAGTGGCATCTTGGCAGCTGCACGCTTGACTTTTCTCAGTTCATGGGCAGTTATTTTGCACCTTGGTTTGTCCACACGCTTCTTGCGACCCTGTTGACTATTTTGAATGAAACGCTTGATTGTTCGATGATCACGCTTCAGAAGCTTTGCAGTTTTAAGACTGCTGCATCCCTCTGCAAGATATCTCACTATATTTGACTTTTCTGAGCCTGTCAAGTCCTTCTTTTGACCCATTTTGCCAAAGGAAAGGAAGTTGCCTAATAATTATGCACACCTGATATACGGTGTTGATGTCATTAGACCACACCCCTTCTCATTACAGGATGCACATCACCTAATATGCTTAATTGGTAGTAGGCTTTCGAGCCTATACAGCTTGGAGTAAGACAACATGCATGAAGAGGATGATGTGGACAAAATACTCATTTGCCTAATAATTCTGCACTCCCTGTATTTTCCCATTTAGCCCGCATGTTTTAAACTCAGGAGTGACTGATCATATAAAAAAATAAATTAAAAGTGAAATCTCTGTGAACTTGGCCTTTGAAACACAAATAAAGCCCAGAGAACCACAACAGTGTTGCAGGCCCTAATGCCGTTCTTTGGAACGAGATGGCATGAATGTCCGAGTCTAGGAACTACTGGTTGAATGCTTTTGGTTTGTTTGCATTTGGGGGCGGGGCTTAGCGGGACAGAGCCATGGGTCAGTTGTGAGCATCTCCCGAGAGGAGTTTCCAAAATGTCAAAGTGCTTGAGAATATTCTCAGGTTCCTTTTGTGAGTCACAAGGCCTTGGGCTTTTAAAAAGCAAGCCTACATTTCGCTCAAAGAAGTCACAAAGGATTTGTTCAGCATCCATCGCGTTCAGTTTCTGAGTAAGAAGGCGCAAAAAATGTGAGACAACTTCTGGAAGCACAAAAAGTTGAGGATGAATTGGATACAAATTTGCAAAGATATACACTCTTAACACAAATGTCACAACTGATTTGCAGTTTAATCCCAAGCTAACGTGTTCTTAGTACCAGTTCGAATGTTGTTGCCTGCAACTAATCACCGATGGAGACTGTGGGTTTAGCTCGAGAAATAAAATCAAATTGTTTAAACACAAACACAGGGAGGAAAGGAAACTTGTTTTCTTCAGCAGGAGTTCTTAAAGGCCCCAAAAGCTGCAGCAGCAGCCCTCATCAAGGACAGACGCAGTCTTCATTTATTTTCCTCTGAGTGAAAACACGAGTGATTCGGATAGTGAGGGATTCCAGGAGAAAACGAAGGACAGGACAGGCTGCTCTTGGTTTAAAAAATATGCTTTTTCTTCTCTCGCTTATGCTGCAGGTTCAGTCCATTCAGCCTGAGAGAAATCAATGCAACTGCTCCTTGTTGGCATCTCTAGTTTGGAAAGCCAGGACCAGATTAAATCCAAAGGGGCTAAATGAACTATTTGATTTGATGTGCCTCAGAATATTGACCATAGGTAAACAAACAAACAAACAATTGTTATCTTGGTGGATTTTTATTTTATTTTGTTGAGGAGAGGAGGTTTGTATAGCAGTGCTGCATTCATCTCCCAGCTTCTCTTCTCCAGCCCAACTGGTTCTATATAAAAAAGCCTCAATCCTCTCCACTACAAGCCTCTAATCCACTTTGTACATAAGGCTGTATATTATGAAACAAAGGTAGTGCATGTTTAGCAATTTTCTTAAAAAAATACTTTTTCAAACAACATGCACACAATTACGTGTTAGAAATTTTGTTATATGAGTTAGGTTTATTTATTTGAAGCTTCATTGTTGTGATTTTTCTGTTTATTTGTTTTTACCTCAGACATTTTGTACATTAAATGTTTAATTCTTAAAATAGTATTTTAGCTTTTGTTGCTTTCCTGTTCTCCAAAAGTGCTGTACAGACAGATGAATGACACATTTTCCACTATAGCTGCTCAGACACGGTTTCCCCTTTACCTGCGTTGCGTTTCTTAAACTGCATTCAGCAATACCAGTTTGCAACCACCTTGATGAAGTGGTCTGGAAAGCCTTAGCTGCGTTTCTTCTGTAAGAGTTCTGGGAAATTTCTGCATGGGGTGAAGGTGGCAGGGGAAAAAATGATGGCTCGGTCTTCTCATTTGCGGCGTGTCTCCATACCATCGACCTCTTCAGCATATCACGACTGTTTCAGCGTTGGGAGTTTAGAAACAGCGATTTTCAAGGTGTAGGAATGACATCCTGTGGTACGAATGTGGGAGCTGATGTTCATTTCTCTAAGCTAAACAAGACTCTTTCCTGTTCTGAGTTTTACGGCTGTTGCCGTTGACAACATAAATACATTTCACTGTAATTTCTGATTGTTGGTAATTGAAAAAGTAGCTTGAGATTTTTTTTAGTGCTGACTCTTTATCCCATTTCACCATTAGCGTTGTTAGCTCAAAGTTAGCTCAGTGTTAGCTTCAAAGCTTCTTTACCCAATATTAGAGTCAAACAAAAAGGATGCTGCCGCTTCTTATGGATGCAAGTAATACTTTCTGGGCCACTTATTTTACTGGCTTCAGTTTTTAAACATCTCTGGAACTTTCTGCCGGTCTGTGTCAAATAACAAATGCCGGCGCAGACTCGGGAGCACCGCGGGCTCAGATTGTAAACAAACACTATGTCCCTCTTTGGCCATTTTGAAAGAAAAATTGACAACCCCTCAAGCTGCCTGAATAGGAAATCTTGTTCAATGTAAACTTCATTCCAACATGATTGAGACATTAAAATGTTTTGTGATTATTTCACTGTAAATGTCTTACATATTGTACCTTTAAAGCAGCATGAATGCTGATACTTTTTTTTACCGATCCTTTCAGCGGGCACAGAGCAATGGAAACATACGTATTTTTCAATAGTAGAAATGAGCCTTTTTAGAGGCCAAGTGCTTAGAAATGTAGACAATGTGAGAATTACGTGGAAATATCTCACAATGATGTTACCATGACGAAGCCTTGAGCAGTGAGAAACACAGACATTGACTTCATTCTGCTTATAAATTCGAGCTTCTCTTTTCAAGGCCATGAGCTGGTTTTCCTCGGCTGTAGCTATCAGAGGAACAACAAACCAGAGAGGTTTCAGTACAACAGCTTGTATTTCATTTCTCCCCAAGCATACGAGAGAGAGAGAGAGAGAGAGAGAGAGAGAGAGAGAGAGAGAGAGAGAGAGAGAGAGAGAGAGAGAGAGAGAGAGAGAGAGAGAGAGAGAGAGAGAGAGAGAGAGAGAGAGAGAGAGAGAGAGAGAGAGAGAGAGAGAGAGAGAGAGAGAGAGAGAGAGAGAGAGAGAGAGAGAGAGAGAGAGAGAGAGAGAGAGAGAGAGAGAGAGAGAGAGAGAGAGAGAGCAGGTAAAAGTTACATTTCCTCTAGAATGTTTGGTCTCACATTAAGTGTATGCCTTTATCAAATGAAATAAATTGTATATAAAATAATGAATTTGTGGTCATTTCCTTGTTATTTGTGTGGATTCCCCAACTGTGGCCGTAACATTTCTATCTGGTGTGTGTGTGTGTGTGTGTGTCTCGGCTCTGCCTTCAGCTCAGCGCGTCTGTCTACGTGCATTAAGGAAAAATAACGTTAAGCAGTTGACTGTTTGTAATGGGGGCTGTCAATGCCCCCACCCACTTCTCCTCTCACTGCTGCTGATGACTAATGGTGCTATTGTCAGCCATGGCAGCAGGATAAATAGCAACAGCCCAGGATGAGATAAAGAGGAGCCTCACCGTGCTCAGTGGCATTAAGCCAGGCTGGCTAAATACAAAACACGAGGCAATCGTGTTTCCCTACAAGCCTCATCCGTTCGTCACGGAGCAGTCAGGTGGGGAGGCTTCAGGTCACTGACGGGATGTGATAACGGAGGTGTTTTCTTCATTTACATGTGACCTCTTGAACCCTAAAGCCATCTGATAGCAGTTCTGGTCACTTTTCTAGTCACAGAGTGTTTTCTTTTGGTTGTAGCAACAACACCCTTCCCAATCAGGTAGCTAAGTGGATCAGAACCCTGCATGTAGCCTTCATAGTAGCCATTTTCACTTGAAAACACCATAAATAAACTGTCTTCGTTAGCACTTCACAATAAGTGTTCCTTTATTAACGTTACTTGGTGCATTATTAAACATTAAATGTACTACTACGATAATAACGGGATTGTTTATTAATGCTTAAAGGGACATTATGGAAGTTTGACAGCCAAAACATGTATAGAAATAATAAATTTATTCTTCATACATTCTCCTGCAATGCCCTGGTCCTGTAGAATGAGCCCTGGCATTTTTACTGTGATTGCCTGTTTTTCTGTAAAATCACAGAAAAAGAGAGATGCTCGGGTCGAGCAGGCTGCTTCATGCGCGTTCACGCTCATGCATCGCCCGTAGCATTTGCTATCCGTAGCTTTAGCAGCAGAGAGTGAGGCAGTGCCACTTTGTCGCTGTTCCTAACGCCTAGTGACAAAGCTAGCTACATTTCTGAGGACCCTTAGCTACTTTCTGTAGAACTTTCTTCTAGATATTTCCTGCAAATTAGCAACAAAATAGACATTTTCGCTCCGAACCGTTCTTTGGTTTGACGTTGTTTCAGCTGTCATCAAGGATATAAATGTTACAGATACTGTGAATGTTACTAGAGTGTAGCTCACCTTGTAAGATGTCTGACTCCCATGCAGAAGACCTGGGTTTGATTCTGGATGTGAACATAGTTTATTTAGAGTTTCTTTTTTACATTAATGGTATATTTTTTTACAGTAAGACGCCCAAATTTTTATTTGAGGCCTAGTCCACACGTAGCCGTTTTTTTTTAAACGAATATCCGCCCCTCCAAAAACTTGCATCCACACCACCTCGTTTTAAAAAAAACTCTGTCCACACGTACCCAGATAAATACGTTGTTAAGGACATACCAGACCTGTAGGCGGCAGTACTTCCCCCGTTCTTAACCTCGTCCTTCGTCTGTGGTCTTCCGCAAGGAGCAGTAATTCCGCTTGCAAAAACAAACAAGCAAAAAGCGCTTGGACAATTGATAAAGCGAGCGCAGCTCTGAGGGCATCCATGCTGTCGGCTAGTGTAAACACAGGTCGCACACGTGATGTCAGCATTTTTTTGTCACGGAAAGTGACGTTGCGGACCTTAAAACTCCGGTTTTGTCTGTCCACACGCAGACACCCAAAACGGAGAAAACGCAGATCTTCACTTTGGCCGGAGTTTTTAAAAAGATCCGTTTTCGTGTGAAAAAACTCCGTTTTCGTTTGGATGACAGGCCAAAACGTAGAAAAATATCTACGTTTTGGCAGATCCCCGGCTACGTGTGGACAGGGCCTGAGACTCGCTGAACGGTATTGAATTCACAGATAAAAAAGATGTGGGTTCAACTTTCATTTTGGAAAAAAATTTTAAGCAAGGGAAGAGAATGATCTGAGCATGCAGGAGGACTGACTCATCATAAACCTTTGTCGGCTGTGCTGAAGAGAAAGGTACAGAACCAAATTATTTAATTAGCTGCGTGTTCTCCTGTCCTCTGTCCTCCGGGCCACATACACACACACACACACACACACGGGACTGTCTCAGCTGTTACTTTCGTTAAGGAGTGTGCACGTACAGCATGCGCGCCTCGTGCACGAGCCTACTTTTGAAGTTGCCGTTACGCTTTTGGCCTGAGGGGGCAATCGCGAGCATAAAAATTCAAAAGTCCGAAAAGTCCCTTTAATAATGCATCAAGTAATGTTGATAAAGGAACCCTTGTTGTATCGTGTTACCCAGCATCTTTAAAGAATACACCACTTGGTTCTAACTCCTGTTCATGCTTAAAGACATTTAGACTGATCTACACCCATCAATTATATTTTAGTGATTGAATAATAGTGATTAGTGATGAAGTTGGCACAAAAAACAGAATTCTCACCCAAAATTACTGAAGACAAAAGTAAAACTGATGTTTATTTAAAAATATATCTTAGTATTTGAGTCATTTCTCTGAACAAAATGGTGAAAGATTGTATTTACAATAGCAGTTTGTCCAGAAGACAAATGAAGCATGGAGAAACTATCATCTTCGTTCCTGGTTTGAACACCCACAGCAAAGCGAACGAGTATCTTTTTACCTCCATTCCTCTTAGATACACACACCAGGAAGTGGATCACAGACAAGTTTCACGGCTGCTTTTCAGCAAGTTGTCTCTCGAGGCATTAAACTGGGTCAGTGGTCGATCCAGTCGCGTTGATCGCCGCCTCATTTAGCAGACCGACCCGTCACACAAGCCAAACTCCTCCCTCAGCAGTTTCAGCACGTTGTCCGAGTACTCGTCCCTGGGTCTACCCATCCCGCTCAGCTGTATGGGAGGGAGGTCGGGGTGGGGTGGCGTGTAGGAGCACGGGCAGTGCAGCTCGTTTAGCGTAAACCAAAAAGTATCCGGATCCACCTGGATTAAGTGTTGGAAAACGCTGTGTGGAGAAAAGAAAGGAGGGGCAGGGGTTAATTTCCTGGATCAACACTTTTATGTCTCGAGTGACGAGGCAGCTTAGTTTGACTCCTGGTTCTTAAACCAGCCTCCCATTTTTGTTTTGATCAAAAAATAAGTGCATTTACTTTTTGTGCAAGAAATTTACTGTTTAATTCACACCAAGCTAAATTATTTTGTGGGAGGGTGCTGTAAAACACTAAACTTGCAGTAAAAGAGCACGGATGTAGTATAAAGTAAAACAACGGTGCTGGTGGGAGTGTATTGGTTGTATCCATGGCAACAAACCAGATCTGAGTTTGGATTTTATCCTGCTGAAGCCCAGTGGGCAACAAGGAACACACAGGAGAAAGTCATGAGAGATGTAGATTATAAATAAATAAACAAACCTTTTCCTGAAACATTATGCATAACTAAAATGAATATTTTAACAGAAAACTCTATATTTTATAGCAAATCTTTATCTTTAAAGTTTAGTCAAATAACTTACATTATTAATGCTCAATCTAGAAAGCACTGAAAAGAATATTTACAGTGGAGAAATGGAAAGTTGAAACCAGTGCATTGAAACTGGAGCTGAAAAGTGACAAATGTTTGAGTAATGGACAAAATAGGAATAAGTCCGAGATTATTATTGTAGTGTGAGAGGAAAAAAAACATTTTAATAATAAAAATGTTAGTTTTTCTACTTTTTCTGAAGTCATATTTTTGATTGAAACAAAACAGCAAATCTCCAATAAGTTTGTCAGTATTAGGATAGTTACGGTAATTCTTTGCATGTTTTCACGTGTTAATTGGATTCTAACAGTTCTAAAATAACAATTACAGATTTGTTCAATAGCCATATATGGAAGAGGATTAGTGACCCTGAAAAGAAAAAAAATTGTGACTTCAATCTCAGAATTCGAGTTTTTGACTTCTGAGAAAAAAAGTTGGAATTCTTGTTTTTTTTATTTCTTTTCAGTGGCACTTATCATCTTCCATAGCATTATGTAATAATTGACTATTTCCTTTTTAGTTATTTTTGAGTTTTCAGCAGTTTTTTTCTGAATAATAACAAAGCATGATTTTCTTTTTTTCCTATTTTTTATTACGATACCTTTTACAGTAGAAATATTTTTTAATCATTTAAAAAATGTTTGTCTTTTTTATGTTCTTGTGATTTTTTTCTTGAGGGGCACTATATAAAATTGTTTCTTATTCTTCTTCTTTACTTTTTGCCTTTATTTATTAATCTCCATCAAAGCAAGTGTTCCTAATAAATCTCACCTTAAACAAGCCTCCTGGAGTCTGACAGGCTGCCGACAGCTCAGGTAGGGCAGACAGGCTTCACAAACAGCGTCCAGGTCTGCTTCGCCTGAGGAAATCAAACACAAACGTTCATCTCCCCAGAAGAAGCTACAATGAAGTTCTGATGTGGGGCCCTCATGGAGGGGGCCATAGGCTTCAACACTGCTGCTAACCACTTAAACATTCTCCCTCTCCTGATAATAACATTTTACTTTCTTTGACATCGAATGTGCTACTACTAGTTTACCCGTTTAATTATAGATTCACTAGGATAACTACAATAAAGTTTATCTCTCACCAAATAGAATATTTACTAAGACATCACAATGTAACCATAGAAACGTTACTTGGTATATATGTTGTGTGTGTGTGTGTGTGTGTGTGTGTGTGTGTGTGTGTGTGTGTGTGTGTGTGTGTGTGTGTGTGTGTGTGTGTGTGTGTGTGTGTGTGTGTGTGTGTGTGTGTGTGTGTGTGTGTGTGTGTGTGTGTGTGTGTGCTCTGTCTTCCCGATCCCCAGTGAGTCGTGGAGGATGGCTGCTTATACTGAGCCAGGATCCTCTGGAGGTTTCTTCCTGTTAAAAGGGAGTTTTCCTCTCCACAGTCGCTAAATGCTTGCTTAGTATGAGGATTGCTGTAAAGTCACTGACACTAGTCAGTGACTCGATGCAATTTGCTGGGTTCCTTATATAGGAAACTTTTTTCTGATTGGCCTAATGAACTGACCTGAATTGGAATGTTTATGTGAAGTGCCTTGAGATGACTCTTGTCGTGATTTGGCGCTTTATAACTAAACGTGAATTTAATTTATTTCATATAAACCTAAAATATCTTCATCACAACTGGCAAATACTCCAAAACATTCCTAGGATAAACAATCCCAGCTCTCAGAGTGTGGGGTGAAAATGTCGGATCGTTAAAGATGAAAGAGGAAGAGGTTCAAGTCTGGACTTTACCTTTGCTGACTCCTAACGAGCTGAAAGGTAGCTGAGAAAGATTTCACCGCAGGCTGGATTTCACACATCCACCCTTACACTTCTTTTTTTTTTCTAAAAAGGGGCAATATTTTCCTCCCTTATCTTCATCCTCGTCTCCTTACCTCCTGCTGTTTGACACACCTGCCTTTGTTCCCTTATCAGCCACTCGCCGTATTTCTCATAACCTATTCCAGCTCCTGCTCTCTCCATCCACTCGACTTCTCCCCACTTTTTCATCTCTCCCTCTGTATCTCTCTTTCTCCTTCCTTTCCCAGCAGACATTTAGCAATTCCCTAAGCTGAAAACTGGGCTGCCTTTCAAGCCTGATTTCAAAACATGTCTGTCTCCTTCTCTGCTTACTCTATTTACCCATTCAACCCACGCTCGGCGTGAGCGCGCCCGCTCGCTGCGACTCCAGAAAAGCAGCAGCGGTGCACATTTCAGAGTTAAATAGGATTATTTAGCAACCACTTTTGTCCCCTTTTTCTTCCTTTTCTTCCTGGTGGTGCACTCAGTCTGTAGTCTGTGTTGAATCGAGGTACTTGGAGGGAAGCAGAGAAACGCTAAAAGGAAAGAAAAGAAGGCTATAGTTGATGTTGGATTTGTGGAACTGCAGCTGAAAGCAGAAGCGGGGCTGAAACGTATCGCTGGCTTCAGTAAATCGGCGTTTCTGTCTTTCTTTCACTCTAGCTAAGGCTTGGTAATTGGCTTGCTGCAAGCGTCCCAGAGGAAAGCAGCAACCGAATCGGTATTCACACGAGTGCGGCTGCAGCCGCTGACTCCACATTCTCTTCATCTCCTACAACAAATCCTTTTTCCTTCGGATGGGAAGCAAGACAGCTTCAAGTTCCAGGCAAAAAAAAAGAAGCACAGGCATCTTAGACGTGAGGAAGATTTTTTATTTTGCGTGACGGAACATTGATAGTTGTGAGAATTCTCCAAATGAGCACAAGGTGTTTAAGATTTGACCGCAGACATTTAGAGATCAGGAGCTGGGATGGTGGCTCCAAAATATGGCACGGTATGGGGGCCAAAATTAAGACTACTGCCCAGCAGCAGGAGGCTATATAAATTCTGAAGCAAACTACCGACCTGATTAATGATAAGCTGGCGCCGGTAACTGAGAGGCTGGAGCTGCTTACTGAGAAATAGCACCTTTACCGGCGTTACTACTAGATACGCTAGGGACTAGCAGCCCTCGGCTGGTCATTGGCTGGTTCACACACTCCCTCTGCTGTCTATTAGCATGGATAGGCTAGCGTTAGCCTGGACGGGCTGGTGTTAGCGTTGGAGAGGCTAGCCATTAGCGTGCCTAGGCTGGCCACTAGCTGACTAGTGACTCTCCGAGACATGATAATGGCTAGCCTCTCCGATGCTAATGCTAGCCTATCCATGCTTAAGGTCCTTCAAGGGGGTAGGAAATCCAGCTAGTGGCATGCCTAGGCATGCTAATGGCTAGCCTCTCCGATGCTAAAGCCAGCCTATCCATGCTAATGGTCCGTCAAGGGGGTAGGAAATCCAGCTAGTGGCATGCCTAGGTACGCTAATGGCTAGCCTCTCCGATGCTAACGCCAGCCTATCCATGCTAATAGACAGCAGAGGGAGTGTTTGAACCAGTCAATGACCAGCCGAGGGCTGCTAGTCCCTAGCGCAGGGATTCCCAAAGTGTGGTGCGCGCACCCCTGGGGGTGCGCGAGCTGCCGCTAGGGGGTGCGCAAGGTGAAAAGTGTAATGGCTGCGGAGCTCAGAGAAGTCTGTCATATGTCACCATTAGCGTAGAAACTCATTTGTGGGTGGGCCAAAGAAAAAGTAAGTGGGCCCAATAAATGTAATTGAAAACAAGTATATTTTTGCGCGTGTGTGTGTCCTCCGCATGTGCCCTAGCTTCATAATAACAATGCGCCGAGCTTCAGCACTCTGGCCTGCGCACGCTGATATGTTCCGTATTTGATCATTTTTAACGGTGTTGGAGGAATCTGAAGGTGGCGAGTCATTCTGGCAGATTGTAATTAACAACTGTCTCATGCAGGTGTTCTGACATTGTAAACCTCACACACAGGACATTGTGGATGTAACAAAATAACAAGAAATGATTCCCATTCAGGCTATTGACAGCGCGCTGAAGATCTGAAGTTCAGAGTGCGTCTGTCAGAGGTCAGACGCGTTCCGGCGGAACCACGGCTCACGGGTGCACAAGTGAGCACATCTGGGCTGGGCAGAAGGAATTTTACAACATTGGTTTAAATAGCGCCAATAGCGAGACTCGGTGACTTGAGCGGCTGTGCCGCACGTGCGCGCGCACACACACACACACACACACACACAGATTCAATAAGCACACACGCTGCTTTAACTCCGGCGCGCCGTCAGACTGAAGGCAGAAATGAACGCTGCCTCCACCGTGATAACAACTTTTAAGAGGTTATTTTTCATTCAAGGTCAAATTAAGATATTAGCTTCTGGGATGAGTCAGGTCCGCTACAGCCAGTGACTCCGAACCTGACCACAACCCATGTTACTGCAGCATTTGTTATTCCGGTCCGCATGACAGCGGATCGCAGATTCAGCCACACCATAAACAGCAATAAGTCGGTCTGAGGCAAAAGTGAACATCATGGCTATATCTTGTCCCCTATTGACATTTGATTAGGCACAAGCAGGTGATCAGTTCAGGTTTACGCAGAGCAGAAGGAAGGAGAGCGCTCTGGCCGCACAGGTTAAACGTTCCTACTTTAAGAAAACCGTTAAATTGCATTGTTTATGTGCTACCTGGGCACTCTAAATATTTATTCAAAATGAAATCAAAGGAAATTGTAATGGTATCGAATGCTTATTAATTACTATTTAAAAAATGAAAGTGATAGGGAATTTTTTTAACCCTGTCTGTTTAGCTTGACATCTGATATATATATATATATATATATATATATATATATATATATATATATATATATAGAGAGAGAGAGAGAGAGAGAGAGAGAGAGAGAGAGAGAGAGAGAGAGAGAGAGAGAGAGAGCCATGGCCCGATGTGGGGGCTGGGGGTGGGGGGGGGGGGGTGCGTCGACATGGTCGGGACATAGAAGGGGGTGCGCGGCTAAATAAGTTTGGGAACCACTGCCCTAGCGTATCTAGTAGTAACGCCGGTAAAGGTGCTATTCCTCAGTAAGCAGCACCAGCCTCTCAGTTACCGGCGCCAGCTTATCATTAATCAGGTCGGTAGTTTGCTTTGGAATTTTTATAACCTTCTGCTGCTGGGCAGTACGTAATTTTGGCTCCCATACTGCGCCAAACCAAAACGTTAGCTCTAGCAAAATGGCAATAAGAGCATAAATCTAGTAAGAACCAATCTCAAATAACTGCTTCTCATATATGACGACTAAAGTCATCATTTGCATTTTTTTACTGAGTGGGCGTCGGAACGAGCCCCCGCACTGTGAACAAACATCTCAGCTCCAAAGCCGATCTTCATCTGTGTACATCACGTGATCAGGATGCAGATAATCCATGTTTTAGGAGTTCATTTTGGGCCGCTGCCGTGAAAAAAGTGAGGTGCGAACCGGAAAAGCTTCTGCTGATCACAATTCGACTACGGATGATGAAAGAACGGATAACGCTCAAAATGCGCAGATTCTTCCTGATGTAAGAGGTAAGTCTATTCTTTGTTTTGGCGTCGACATCATCATAAGAGTGCAACCTTCTGTGACTCTTCAAAAAAGCAGTGAAAACGCTGAAAAATGCTGGCAGCGAATGAGTTAATCAGTACATTAGCAGTGGTCTCTAGTAACGAATGCCCTGTGGGTACAACAAGCCCTGGCGCCTGCTTTAGGATCTAGAGTCTTACTTCCTGATATTTGGATATCTCACCTCTGATTGGCTAACTTGAACTATTCAAGGTTTAACATATGACAGATTTATAAATACGTACACAGTCAATAATAAACACGAGGAATTGTTTAAATCTCACGATCAATAATGCAGTTTTTTATTTTGTCAAGTTTTCTATGATTTTTGTAAAACAACCACATGTAGCTTCTAACACACATGTATCACTTCTGTCTTGATGAATTCCTTTTGCAGAGATCCGTGCAGCAGC